TTGGCCCAGGATTTTCAGGTGACTTTCAGACCTCAAATAAACATTGCTTTCTTTCTCTATCTATGCCTACTGATCTTTCTGGTGAGTTGGGAATCGTGTTCAGTGCATCAAATATGGAAGAAGTACTCAAGAATAAACATATAAACAAAAGATCACTAAAGTAATTTTCACCCAAGCCCCAGTATTTTTATTATTATTTATAGTTCTCTACGGAGTGTTTTATTACATTATGAAATTCTGTGGCATTCTAATTGAACCATAATATATAATAATCATTAGAAGCATTTGAATATTTAGCTGAATTTACTCACAAGTATTTATTAAAACCTATTAGGAATCAATTCCGTGCTAAACATTGGAGACAGAGTGATCATTATTGTCATCCCTACCCTTAGACCACTTATAGTTTATGGAGACTATATATGAGGAGTAAAAAATCTTCAAAACAACAGGATAATCACTCTGGTAGATGTAGAAAAGCCAGGAAGAATGACACCAAGCAGAGGGGCCACTAGACCCAGACTTATTTAGGGAATGACTTCTTAGGAAAAGGGATGCCAAACTGAGCCAGTGGAAGAAGGGAGAAAATAGTGTTCCAGGGGAGGGGACGGTACTAAGTAGACAAACATTTAAGGTACATAAGCAACTGGATTTTGTAAAATGCTTGATATGAAGCAGCAGAGAAAGACAGAGGACAGATTGAGAGACTTTAAGCCCAAATCAGCAATTTAGACTGGTTGGTTGTCTGTTTTTGAGACAAGAGTCTCACTGTTGCCCAGGCTGGAGTGCAGTTGATATAGGAGGTAGAAATTATTTAGGCAGATTGTAAGGGCAAAAGAGTCCTTGGCAAAGCTTCCCCTCTAACAAACGGCAGCCCCAAAAGGCATCCCCAAAAATCATTTCTTTTCTAACAAGAGCAGCCTGAAAAATCGAGCTGCAAACATAGATAAGCAAGCTGGAAGTTTCCACGGGGGAATACTGGCATCTATGCCAATAGAAAAGAGCCACCTGGGGGCCAGGCATGTCCAACATAAAGGCTCCATCTTCCCTTTTTTGTTACCACATGTACAGTAATAAAGAAATGGGCAACATGGCAAAGCTCAGGCAGAGGCATAATAAAAGATTAAGGTGGGGACTACCAGAGATTCACATCCTATGCAAATGGAATATCTGTTCCAACCAGTTTTTCATGTCCTGTGTAAATAAAACACTTCCTCCTCACCCACTCATCTATAAAATCCCCCTGTTTTCACTGTGGATCTAGCAACCCGTTTTTCTGGGACCCCTGTCTGCACCAGAGAGCTATTATCTATTAATCTTCCATTCTCAACCTCACTCTCTGTGTCTGCATCCTTGTTCCCGTGGCTATGAGACAATAAACCTCAAGTGTTACTCCAGACGATGAGGTCGCTTCACAGTGACATGATCTCTGGTCATTGTAGCCTGCACCTCTGGGTTCAAATTATTCTCATGACTCAAGCCTCCCAAGTAACTGGGACTACAGGCGGGTACCATCATGCCCAGCTAATTTTTGTATTTTTTAGTAGACATGGGGTTTCACCACGTTGGCCAGGCTAATCTTGAACCTGAGTTCAAAGCAATCCACATGCCTCAGCCTCCCAAAGTGCTGACATTACAGGCATGAGCCACTGTGTCTGACAATTTAGACTTTATAACGAAGGTAAAGCTAGTAAACTGATTAGCAAAAGAAAGACATACTATGATATGCATTTTGGATACATTACTCTAGAGAATTGCTCAGAAAGAGGCCGGGCTAGAGGTAGGAGACATATTGGAGACTATCTCAGGAATCAAGAAAATAAACAGATGACCAACTGAAGGTTATAATTGCAGCAATACTGAGAAATAGATGAATTTTTGGAATATATAAACCACATGATTTTTGAGATCTCTGATATAAGAAGTGAGAGAAAAAAACTCAGAGTAGATGTTCAGATTTTTGCTAACTGAATGAAAACACAAGTTGTGAAATATAAGACAATGAAGAAGATGGTTTAAGGAAGGGAGGAAAAATGAGAACATTTGATATTTCAGGAAAAATAGTTTGAATTGTTAAAGCCAGGTAATTTGTAGTCTGAGAAAAGTAAAGCATGTTTTACATGTGTATTGTAGAGAGTGGAAACCTGAAATAACTAACACTGAGAACCCAGGTGCGATCAAAAATGAAGAACCAGCGCTGGCCCCATCCTGACCTATTCTGATTTTTCACCACCAGTGCTCAGCCAGCGACACCCTGAGGCATGCAAGCACCTTCAGGTTAATCCAGGATGGCTGGTGCACTGGTGAATGAAACAAGAAATCAGTGGGGCAAAGAACAAGGGAAAATGAGGCTTTGAGACAGCTGAGGGTTCAGTGTTTAACAATAACAAGGACAGTAGAATAACTGAAAGGAAGAGTTAAAAATGTGGTTCTTGTCTGTGGCTGCATATCGGTATCACCTAGGGAGCTATATAATATACTGATCCTTGGATCCCACTTCTAGAGATTCTAATTTAATTAATCTGAAATGTAGAAATTTTGAAAATGTCTCCAGATACTCTACAGTGCAGCCAAGACTGAGAACAATTGAACTGTAATGGATATCGAATTGGTAATTGGTTGACTCTAAGATTTTAAAGGAGAAGTAATGAATTCTTCTTATGATTATTATTTAAAGTCTAGGATGTAGCTTAGAGAATAGCTGGATGAAGTGGTGTGGAAGTAAAGGACACCACAGATGTGGGAATCAAAGATCTGAGCAGAGAAGCAGATGAGCCATCTACATGGACAATAAAGTTACCCAAGGTGATGGCAAACTTGGAGTGGGAAGTCGGTTGTCTAGTTTAAGTTAATCTTAGATTTAAAAGACAAGTAGAAACCAGAAGTTGGTGATTCACTTTACAAATTATATAACATAACTCCTTAAACAAATCTAAAACTTAATATCTTATATGTATTTATAAAACGTTTATATATTTCATATTATTGTGTATAAAATAAAAAATGAGATAAACTGTAAAGCTAAATCTGTGGTATTAATAAAATCAATTCAGATTACTTAATTGACCTCTTCACCGGGGAAAATGTAGTACTGTATCGGTGACCTAGTCCCCCCCAACAGACCCCAGTGTGTGATGCTCCCCCTCCCTGTGTCCATGTGTTCTCATTGTTCAACAACTGCCTGAGTGAGAACATGCAGTGTTTGATTTTCTGTTCTTGTGTCAGTTTGCTGAGAATGATGGTTTCCAGATTCATCATGTCCCTACAAAGGACACAAATTCATCATTTTTATGGCTGCATAGTATTCCATGCTATATATGTGCCACATTTTCCTTGTCCATTATTATATCCACCACATATTAGAATGTTATTTAAAGATGCTCAAAGAAAAGACTAGATTGTAACTAGAGTAAATGTATTTAGAAACACAAGGAAAAATGTATTAATCATGAGCAATATAACCAGAAAGATAAATGCTGACATTGGTCCATCCCAGCAGAGATAAGTAGACATTGTTTACTAGCCTACACTTATTTCTATTGTAGCGATGCTGGTAAAGCCTCAGATCAAATATGTAACTTACTCTGATTCCATGTGCATAAAATCTATTTCTGGTTATTTGTGGGAAAAAACACTCTGACAAGAGGACAGGAGTGTTGGATTATGATGGCTGTTATATTCCTTGCTGTCAAATAACATGCCAGCTTTCTGATTTATACACTGCAATCTCCTGTGAATTTAGTTAATGTGAGTCATCCAATACATCCTTATTGTCAAATAACATGCTGGCTTTCTGATTTATACACTTCAGTCTAGTGTGAATTTAGTTAATGTGAGTCATCCAATACATCCTTATTGTCAAATAACATGCCGGCTTTCTGATTTATACACTGCAATCTCCTGTGAATTTAGTTAATGTGAGTCATCCAATACATCCTTATTGTCAAATAACATGCTGGCTTTCTGATTTATACACTTCAGTCTAGTGTGAATTTAGTTAGTGTGAGTCATCTAACACATCTGACTAATTATAGGGTATTGACAAGATTGAGTTTCTGGCCTTGTAAAGTTGGACCAGAGTAAAGTCATAAATGTCATAATTCTACTCTGTGTGACCTGTTGACCTCTTGGAATTTGACTGTCTGCTTCTGGAACCTCAAAGCTTCAAAAATTCCATAATGAAATTCTGTATTTACAGGAAGAGATTAGCTACAAGCAGATAGTAAATGGGGTCTCCTTCTGCCAATCAAGATATCTCCATGTGATTGACATAAGAACATTATAATTGTACATGTACATCAAGACTTCCCTCTCCACCCTACCAATTCATTTACACAAAAAAAGTCAGAATAAATTACTGTAGTTACAGATTTTTTTATTGTAACGATGCCTTTACAGTAAACAAATATCGTTGGGTTTTCTAAAAGTGAAATCATTTCAAGCATAATGAAGAAAAGGGGAGACAATATGATGTATTTGAAGAAAAGCTTTTAAGATATTAAAACTTCTAATATCTTTTAATATTTTAAAAATATGTAAACTTTAATATTCTGGGTATTGTGTTATGTACCCAGGAATGGACAAACCTGGCACTACACAGCATCATTCTTAGGTGGATGGCAGGAGGGTTCTGTACACCAGGACCAAGAGAAGAATGAGAATCAAAGGATGACTTCAGTAATGACTGGTCAAGGGCACTGGGTAGTCAAAGGAGCATGGAGAGGCAGGATTGGCACAGAATAGATCAGCGGAAAATTCCCCTAATGCACAGTGTAAAGAGAAAAACCTCAGGCTTTGGTATCAGATGAATCTGAGTTCAGTATTAATTCATTCCTAATTGGCTGTATGGTTTCTATATGATCCTCAATTTCCAAATGTGTGAAATGTGAATAGTAATTTCTACTAGGAATATCATGAATATTAAATACCAAAACAATAGTGACTGGCACAGAGTGAGTCCTCAATGATAGATGTTATTAAAAATTTGTTGATCGCCATCCGGCGCCGGCTTTCGGCACGACGATCGCCGCGTTCCATCGTCGCGCGGCCCTTCGGGCGCCAGATCCCGCAATGTCTGGCCCGAACGGGGACCTGGGGATGTCGGTGGAGGCGGGAGCGGAAGGCGAGGATGACGGCTTCGGGGAAGCAGAATACGCCGCCATCAACTCCATGCTGGACCAGATCAACTCCTGTCTGGACCACCTGGAGGAGAAGAATGACCACCTCCACGTCCGCCTCCAGGAGCTGCTGGAGTCCAACTGGCAGACACGCCTGGAGTTCCAGCAGCAACTCGGGGAGGACCCCAGCGATGCCAGCCCCTAGGCTCCAAGAGCCCCTAACCGGGCCCCCACCCTGCCTCCCTGGGCTAGACTCTGGCCTGGGTACTCACCCCCTGGCTTAGACACCTTCTCAGGGGTTGGCCTTCAGGGTCCCTGGGTGGGTCTGCCTGCCTGGTCCACCCTTCTGGCCACTCCCCTTGGCCTATCTGGGCCAGCCCCCACTGCCTGGCATTCCCTCCTGGGGCCAAGAGTGGGCCTGCAACCCACCCACTTGCCTGCCCACCCAACTCCTGGGCACTCCCCACTCTGCCCAGGCCTTGAGTGTCCAAATTAAACGGGTCTCCCACACACACACACAAAAATTTGTTGATCACACATACTTTGTTTAAAGGAAAGTTCATCTAAAAGATAAAGAGCCAAATTTGTTATGCTCAATATTCATTTATTTAGCATTTTTATATGCTAAAAAGAGCTTTAAAATATTTCCCTTAAGTATAATTTTCTTTTACTTACTACCAAAATCATTCTAATAACTTCATTTCTCTATAATTCTCTAAGGACTGAATCATTCTGTCACATATATTCACTTTCATCCATTCTTAGGAGTGTCTAAGAATATTCATTTGAGATCAATCTAGTCATACCATATATGTATTTAATCTGTTACATTAATTGAGATAAATATTGTTAGTCATAGTCACTACAGCATTTTATTACCTTGTCATGAAAATATATACAAGCCTTTTTTCATTTTATAAATATGAATTTTATTCAACATTGCCATCCCCTGGGATTTAGACTCACACCAAAGGTTGCATAGCATCCGATTATTTCATCATGGAATTGTGAAATTAAGAACTGTTCTGCCAGAGACTCCTGGTCGACAATAAATGGTGAAACCCAAGGCTCTTTTACTAACGTATGCCCTTAGTAGCTTGTTTTTAAGACAACAGTACAGAATGTTTCAGTGTGATTAAACTTGAGTAAACCTTAATTCACAGTTAACTTTTACCCACCTTCTGTTCTCTATCATTTCTCTTTCTTTTATGTTTGTATTTGTATGTGAAGAGATCCCAAAAGAAAAATGTGTATCACACAAAAAGGGATTTGTAATCAGAAAATATGAGATTCATTCTCTGGTTCCAACTCTGTGACTTAGGTAAGTTACTTAGCCACATTCAGCTTCAGTTTCTCATCTGTAAAATGTAAATTGTGTATACCTCAATATTAATTCATTCCTAATTGGCTGTATGGCTTCTATACATTGAAAAACTTGAGTAAAACATCTGTGAAGTACCTAGCCTCTAAGAGATATTCACCAAATGCTAGATGACTACTTTCCTTGTTTTATCTTTTTCTTTTCAGTAGTAATGATAATAGCAACTACCTTCACTACTTTGTGACTGCTTTTAGAGTAGGAAGAACGTGATCAATTTAACGAAAACTTATTCAAAGCACAACTTCCACTGTTATTCCACTAATCTTCATACACTTGGAATGTGGTTACAGAGAGGCTTTATATCTCTCAAAGAGTTATGAGGATTAAAAGAGAACTTTTTCAAAATACTGTCAGCTCTTTGAAGCATCTCTGTGCCTCAAAGTGAGTTTAAAGTGGTCAATAAATATTTGTTGAAAAAATGCTTGCTAAAGACTTAATGAACAAATAAAGATGAGTGTGCTTGGTTAATTGCGTTATACAAACACACACAGACAAGTATTCATTTTATATATATATATTTTTTATTATATATATAATATATATATTTATATATATTTTTTTATTTTATTTTTTGATACAAAGTCTCACTCTGTCACCAGGCACCAGGCTGGAGTGCAGTGACATGGTCTCGGCTCACTGCAACCTCGGCCTCCCGGATTCAAGCAATTCTCCTGCCTTAACCTCTCAAGTAGCTGGAACTACAGGTGTGCGCCACCACGCCCAGCTAATTTTTTGTATTTTTTAGTAGAGATGGGGTTTCACTGTGTTGGCCTGGATGGTCTGAATCTCCTGACCTTGTGATCTGCCTGCCTCGGCTTCCCAAAGTGCTGGGATTACAGGCTTGAGCCACCGTGCTCAGCCTCATTATATTCTTAAAAAGTTGAGAAGTAAATTTGTTTGGATCAATCTTCCATTTTGTATTCTTCCCTTTTGGTTTGACTTGAGCCAGTTCATTGAAAATGAAGAGTTACCTTAGATTACATACAAAACCCCGGGCTTCTAATGAAAAGACATTATCATTAATGAAATAAATGTCTATGCACCACTCTGAAAACCCAATTGTAGCAATTATTTTTTTCTATTCATCAGTGACAAAAAAACCTATTAATGGAACATGAATTGATAGAATAATATCTAAAGTTTCGTTTTTATAGTTATAAAAATAGAATTCTATTAGATTAAATCATATTGACTATAATAGTTTCATAAATACTATATCATCAATGATCTCTTAAATTTTTGATTATTTTTATTGTAGTATTCTAGTCCTAGTAATATACTTTGGAAATCAATAGCATTATTGCATGTAATGTTTTTACATCTAAGTACTAAGTATTTTCCTTAAGTGAGGATATTGGGGGGAGTCAAGGGAGGAAAGGAGAAAGAAGATGAGGAGGAGGTGGAGGAAGAAGAAAAAGGAGGAAAAATAGGAGGAGGAGGAGGAATCAAGCAGTCTCAGTAATAACAAAATGTAATGTCTTTAGATCCAAGAGGGCACAGAATCATGTTCTAGAGGACCATGATAAATACTCTAACAAATTGTTCCTTGTTCTTGCAACATTAACTTTGCCCTAAGAATCAAGTCCTTCCTTAAAAATGTTGAAACATCTGTTCTATCTTTCAAAGAAAGCCAGTAGTGAGTATATTTAGGACTATTTCAAAATGTGCTTTAAAACAGAATTATATGAGTTTTTTGCATTTTCTGTAATCCATACTCTGATTAATAAAGTATCTGTAAAACTTTAATACTACAGAGATGCAGACTTCTTTAAACTGACAACTAAACTTAAGTTTCTTCTTTGAAATAAACCTACTGATATACCATTTGTCATTAGACTTCTGAAAGCAAGTGAAACATTTTTCAAACTGTATTAGCTGCATATGTGCAGTATCAAGAAAAGGCAAGCCGTATGTTAACATTTAGGGTGAAAAATCAGTTTACCAACAAACCTCCAGGGATTACTTCTAAAGTTTCTCAGGGTGATGATGAGAGGAGGAAATAATGTACCATTGACCCCACACCCTCAGACCAAAGAGCTCTAAGTGTAAGCACTCCACCCTCACACAGCTGCATGGCCCAATTTAAGCGTATGATCTTGAGAGGAAAAAGTTGGGAAAAAAACAGAGAGATTGCACAACCCCAGAGATTTTGCCAAATGCTCCCCAGTTTGCCTGAGACACCCTGGATCTGGCTCTCAGACACGTTGAAAGGGCTTTCCTTGATCTCCACAAAGCCAGAAGCAGGGCCGTTCTAACAGCCAATTGATTCTCCTGGGTCAGTTAAACGCAAGTTCAGTCTCCTCGTAACATCTGCATGCAGCAGAGAAAGACTCTTTGTTGTCATGTCCAGCATCAGCCCAACACAAAACTGAACTAGCTAAATCATATTCTCTCTTCCTTTTGATATTCAGTGTATGATTTTCCTAAATAAAAATAGGCAGAGTTTGTTTTTTAATCAAATTAGGACATTAGGCTTCTCTTTTCTTTATATTGTTAGTTTTCAAGAAAAATTCTTTGTGAAAAAACGTTAAATATATTTATTCAATGCTACAATTAGAAAAAAATAGAATTTTCCAATGGTAAAAAACTGATAATGTCATCAGAAATTTAGAGCCATAATAGAATTATTTAAAACATCAATAGTCCTATGAAGATAAAAATTATTTATTTATATTATCCTCTGTGGCACAAGATACTCAACAGCTAAAATGTAAATGTTTTTCAAAAAAGTCTGGTTTTCGAGTCCTCTCCTTCAAACCGAGAAAGAAATGTAGGTGGGGTAAGGGCAAAGAGAAACCAAAAATAGAAAGGAAAAAAAAAAAAGAAGGAAGGGAGGGATGGGGAGGAGGAGAGGCAGAGAGAGAGAGACAGTAAAGAAATAATTCTTTCTTTTCCTTCTTTCCTTCCTTCCTTCCTTCCTTCCTTCCTTCCTTCCTTCCTTCCATCCTTCCCTCCCTCCCTCCCTCCCTCCTTCCTTCCCTCCCTTTCTCCCTCCCTCCCTCCTTTCCTTCCTCCTTTCTTTCCTTCTTTCTTTTTCTTTCTGATGAAGGCTTGCTCTGTCAGAGCAAACTGGAGTGTAGTGGCACGATCTCAGCTCACTGCAACCCCTGCCTCCTGGTTTCAAGTGATCCCCCTGCCTCAGCGTCCTGAGTAACTGGGACTATAGGCGTATACCACAACACCCAGCTATTTTTTTGTATTTTTAGTAGAGTTGGGGTTTCACTGTGTTATCCAGGATGGTCTCCGTCTCCTGACCTTGTGATCTGCCCGCCTCGGCCTCCCAAAGTGTTAGGATTACAGACGTGAGCCACCACGCCCAGACCACTACTTACTTTATAGTCTGAAGGGAAACAGTAATATTTCTAGGGGGATGATGACAAGCACTCTCTGATAAAGGTGTGCTGTGGTTAGGACTTTTGTGTTTGGTTCTTCATGAGGGACAGTCAGAGAAAATAATCAAGGTATGACTATTCAAATTTTCTTTGGGTCCTAAGAGCAAAAGTGCAAAACCAGCATAGTGTTTCCAATACAAACAGGCATACTCATATTATATATATCCCAAGTGTGGTATGTAACACAACCAAACAAGAAAGCACTCATTTAGTCAGAGGTGGGTTTTTTTTTTACTTTTTAACCTGGGTATTATCTCAAACATGAGTTTTGTCTGTCTTTACTTTGGCAGAAAACCTACAAAATTCTGTTCTGACTGGACAATATCTATTTTAAGTCTCTTCAGAAGACTATACTCTTGAATGCAAACTGGAACTAGGTCATGATTTTGTACAGAGTCACAATACTTCCTATGCTACACAATTAACTATCCCCTAGAAGCAGCAAATTTATGTTTTACTATTTCATTCCTTTATACTAAGGGCAGGTGCATTATAACAGGTCCGCTATGTCCGATAGTTTATCCACATGACAAAGCCTTTCCTGATCATGGTCATTAGAAGATACAAGATATAGAGAGGCACTGTTTCTAAGGTACTCAAAATTTAAGTGTCCCAACTAAAAATATATATATATATATATATATATTTGTGCATCCCCTACAATTGCTCACTGAATAAATAAATTATGGCTTGTTCAATCAATGAAACCAGATACAGCTATTAAAAACGAAGACTAT